TTGCCATGAAGTGATGGGACCAGATCACATGATCTTTGTTTTACATATAAAGATTTTATTGTTGTTCAGGGGCTTTGTTCTATTTCATTTTTGATGCAACACAAGATGATGACTTAGAATTTCCTTTAGCCTCTGTCTTGTGAAAGTTCCACAAAGTACTACTCAGTTATTGAAATCTAATCATTTTTTATCTCATACCTAAAAAGGCAACAGAATCATTTACAAACTCAGTCAGTGTCTGAGTGAGCTATCTTGGTATGAGCTAGACATTTCCCCCAAACATTGTCAGTCCTATGCCAACTAAGGGAAATAACAAACAGAATCTACTACTGTTGCAAAGCATTCATTAAATATATACTAAATGCTAATATGGGAATTCATATTTCTTTCTCCTTAGTCCTACCAATATGCATTGTGCTCACTTCCACTGCACTCTTAATATATACCACAAACATACATCTGACTTTGATAATGGACTATACCGTGTTTGAATTCACTGATCATTTACCCATCTTTGAATCCTCTTTCCTTAGCCTAGAACTACCCCATCATAATAATTACTGTGTACTGAGTGTGCATTATAATAACATCACTTCTGTGCATTATAATGGGAACTTGAGACATTATCTCCCTTAAGTATCAATGAAACGGGTCTTCCCTGCAGGGTTAGTGGGGAAGAATATGTCTGCCAATACAGAGACACAGGTACGATCTCTTGGTCTGGGTAGATTCCACATTCCGTGGAGCAACTAGGCCCGTGTGACACAACTATTGAGCCTGTGCTCTAAAGGCGAAAAGCCACTACTACCGAGCACACGCCGCAACTACTGAATCAGTGCTCCCGAGAGCCTGTGATCCAGGAGAGAAGCCACCGCAATGAGAAGCCCGCACACGGCAACTAGAGGGTGGCCCAGCTCTCTGCACCTGGGGAAAAGCCAGCGCAGCAACGAAGGCCCAGCACAGCCAAATAGAGAAATAAATAAAATTATATTTTAAAAACTCAGTGAAACCAATGCAGTGATCATGTTTCTGCCCACATTTAAAAGGAAGAACCCGAAGCTCAGAGAAGTAAAGGGCTTTGTCTATATAATACTGTCTGCAAATATTGTGCAGCACAGGCTGAAACCAAAAACCAACGGTTAGCTTGTTGCCCAACACTGTCTCCCACTGTACAGCAGACAGAAGCTCAGATGTCTCAGATACATCATTTTCTCACTGAGCATTCAATCTTGAAACTTAGATGTGCTTCTGCCATTTTACAAAAGAGGAAGCTAAGATTCAAATACACAGGGAAGGCACTCAGTAAATGCTGGCAGACTGAATAAATCCAATATTACAGAATAGATTTGGGAGGTAATGAAAGGCAATGGGGAAAAAAAAACACATGTTGGTATAAAACCTGGCTGAACCTCTTCCCAAAAGCAAGTTATAGAAATCTTTTTAAGATCATTAGAGCCTTCATTGTAATAATTTCTTCAAATGTGATTACCTGGATTATTACTTTCATAAGGTAGAAGTAGACTATCAGCAGTATTTCTATAATCATGAAAACACTCCTTTGTTTATATGGATTTTTCTAGATTACTTATTGGATAATTTATTAGATAAATTCTGTGTAATGTTTTTGATACTCGGGGGGGGGGCACTCTTAAAAGTCATGTGAAAATGTCTAGCCTTGGAGAAATTTATTTTCAAACAATAAAGATATATGGGTTGTATCACAATAAAGTCACAATGGGCTCAGTTACGCTGGGCTAACAAACAACTGAATTCTCAGTGGCTTATCAAAAAACAAAAGTTTACTCATGGAAAATCCTCTACGGTTCTGGGTAACCTTTCAGGGCAGCTGACCTCCATGTGCTGTCAATATTTCAGACTGTTTTTATGTTCTGGTAACTGTGTAAGCTCCATAGAGTCTCCTACAGGTAATTCAATGCTTTTCTAGGGTTGGGAGTGGGGATAGTAGTAGAGGAATAATACATCACTTCAGCTCATATTTCATTGGCCAAACCAAGACCTATGATAACATCTACCCTCAAAGGAAACGCAATATTTCAAAAGAAGGAGATTAAAAATTTGATGAACTGTACTAATGTCTACTATAGTGTATAAGGTTTTCTCTGGTGGCTCAGACGATAAAGAATCTGCCTGCAATGCAAGAGATCCAGTTCAATCTCTGTGTCGGGAAGATCCCCCGGAGAAGGAAATGGCTACCCACCCCAGTATTCTTGATTAGAGAATTTCGTGGACAGAGGAACCAGGCGCTTTACAGTCCACAGGGTCGCAAAGAGTCGGACACCACCGAGTGACTAACACTTTCACTTTCACAGGCGATAAGAAAAATATCAAGTTAAATATCAAGGATTGCTACTGAAACTAAGGTTTGGAGAATTTAAAGGAGAAAGATTCACAGTTAAGTTGATTTCTCTTATATTCTTAAAGGAAGAATGAAAAGTTTTCCATTTTTATCTTCATTTATTAATGAGTTCAATGAGAAGAAAATCAATTCATTTTATCACATGGGCTCCTCAGTACTGTGGAAAAGAATGACAGCAAAAATGGTCTCAATTTTGAAATACCAATCCATTCTTTATTCTAGATATCTTCAAGTCTTAAGGGTAGTTGGAGAAAATGGTGCTTCCTAGAATGAGCAGGTCAGATGGAAATGCTTCAGATTTGTGTGCTGATTGGCCATGAGCAAAGCACTTTTGCTTTAATTCCATTCTCATAGTGACTTTTTGACACTGACAAGCAATTGTCCTCCTCATTCTACAGATGAGATGACTGAAATCGAAAGAGATCTAAAACAACACTTATGCTCACAACTATTAAACAGCTAAGTTGAAAACAGAAGTCAAAATTCTAACCTGCCGCCCCATTCTCCTTCCACTATTCAATTCCAGTTCCTCTGTATCGGGAGGAACATAAGCCCATTTGCTGAGAGAACTACCATGGAAGTAAATCCTCCTTAAATAATTCTAAACATGAATTTCTGTTGTGATAGCTTCAATTTACTTGTGCTTACACACAAGCTGTATACCAAGTTGGAAGCCTACTGTGCAAGACAGGTTGAAATCAATTCAACTGATGTTTTACAAATAGGACTCAATCCACTCACAGATCAGAGATAAATAAAATATAACAAGCTTACTGACTCAAGATTCATGCTGGCTTGTGGCTCACCTGAGTGGGTAGGAGTTTCACACACAACATGGCTTTCACTCCTCAAATGATAGTGCCCTGTATAATGTAGACTGCAGAGAGCAGCATCACTTACATGGATTAGTTCCTGCGTCAGATCCCACAGCCATGCTTTGTGAACATGTTGCTCATGTATGGTTAAAGCTCAGAAGGCTCAAACGAAGCCAGTGATTTTAAGATGAGTAGACACTAAAATTATCTCACATGAATCACGGAGAAAGGCTTTGGATTAACTAGTCTGAGAAGCAAGGCTGGCAAAAATAAACAAACCCCTCAGCCACTTTTTGTCAATTTGCTTGTCATTTATTTTGAAATCCAGAGGACTCATCTCTTTGTACTCTTTAAACATCATGACAGTCTCTATTTACTAAATGTGAAAAAACATAATTAATTCCGAAGTGCTGCTTCTCATCTTCACGGCATTTTAACCCAGCTTCTAGCAGCATTGACTATGCAAAAGAGGCACATTGTTTGGCAGTGGTTCTGTTTCTGAATCTGTGATTCTCTCCTTAGGGAGATGGTAATGATGATTACACTTAGTTGAAATACTACAAGTGAAAGACAAACTAGACAGCACAGGCAGATGAAGGGTGGGGGGGTGGTGGTGTGGAGCAACAGCAATTAAGAAACCCTCTTATAGATAAACCAGCATTGGAGACACTGCTGTGCTGATGGGTATGCCAAGCTGTCGGTTTGGGGTCACATTTGATCATCTAATTTAAGCTGCTTCAGGACAAAATTGGGCTTGCCAGGTGGCATTAGTGGTAAAGAACTTGCCTGCCAATGCAGGAAACCTAAGAGATGCTGGGTTTGATCCCTGGGTCTGGAAGATCCCCTGGGGGTGGGCATGGCAACCCACTCTAGTATCCTTGCTTGAGAATCCCATGGACACAGGAGCCTGGAGTCTACAGTCCACAGGGCTGCAAAAGTCAGACACAACTGAAGCGACTGAGAATGCACACATGCGGAGAATATTGCCATGAAGTTAGTAAGTCATTCTTTTTTTTAATGGAAAGCAGCCTTTAGGGTGCCTCTTATGGACATGTTTAGCTCAAGTTGGGGAATTCCCTCTTTAAGGAAACAAAACAGAGAGTAGAAAGGAATAATCCCTTGAAAGTGTTCGAGGTAATGAGCATTTTACATAATTATCACATATACTTTTCACAATGACCCTGAAAGGTAGGCACTGTTATCTCCACTTCACATTTGAAGAAATCCAGTTTCCATAAGGACCAACCACTTGCCAAAGGTCACACATATAATAAGCAATAGAGCTAATTGAATTCTTAGTCTTACTTTCCTTGATATCATGCAGCCATTATAGTATTACAGTGTTTCACAAAAAAACTTGTGGTTATTCAAATGAAGGTACTTATATCTCTCATTATCAACTATATGCTATTGTCAGAATTTACTGAATGAATTAATGGGAGAAAATATTTTGCAAACCACTTTCTGAATATGGGTATCCTAGAATTATATCACTTTACTTTTCCACTATTTGAGTCATCATAAAGGAGACTGTGCTTTCCAGTATGTGGCATTTCTCAGTATAGGGATCATTTTTATTGCATGGTCTGGCAGAACTGAGAATCATCAATACTGAAAAAGGACTAAGACAAATTCATCCTGGGTAGGTAAAATTTTAAAGGTCAATAGAAACACTTTTCAGAAAACCAGTGCTCCATCATTAACTATTATTTGAAGATGGCAAACCTTAGGGATCTTCAGTCACTTAGCACTTGCATGCCCGCCCCAAGGCAAATATAAGAGGTGGGAGATGCAATTCCTGAGTTTACCTGAAGATGGCATCCATCCCAAAGTTGTATGTGATCTGTATGAGGACTCTCTGCAAATTCACAAGCACTGTCATAAACTCCTTTCTACTGACGGGGAAATTTGTGCCATGTGTGGTAAATGATTCTTCTTTAAGTGACAACACATTAATATGTTCTTCAGATGGTTGAAGATACACCTCATCTTGGGCTGAGCTGATTCTCAAGTCATTTCCCTAAAGGGGAAAAGAGAGTATAAAAGGATAAAACTGTGAAAAAAGGGATTCTCCTCTTTGTAGGTTATCCTCAGTAGGTTTATTTCAGGTTAGCTTTCCCTGTCAGCATATTTCTAGTAGGTATAAAAGGTAGAGAAAACAATTTAAATAGTAGCCTTAACTCAACGTACCACAAAGTATAAGCTTCTTGGTTATGCGTGGCTCTGCTTCCCCTATTAACTAAAATAATTAATACTTGGTAAGTCTAGATGTATATGATTACAAATACATCAATTTTATAGAAATGCACAAAACCGACTATTTCAGATATACTATTTTATGGTGAATGTGGATTATATAGGAAAATGGGGAAGAAAAGTTAAAACAGTGTATGAAGTTATTGTTTTAAGGGACTCTTCAATCTGGGGAAAAAAGAAACAGGAGAAAATCCTACAGTTTCATGATTACAATCAGGTAATGGCATTACTATCATTTGGGTTAACCTTTTATCTTAGTTCATTCATATTAATAATATATAGCTTCTCAATATTTTACATTTAGAGAATCCCTTTTATCTCAAAGGAACTCCATGACATACTTCTATTTTCATACACACACACATATGTAATGATATATATCACTCAGATCACTTCACCTAATACTGGAAACATTCATTTTGGGGAAAGACTTTTTTTAATATTGATTCTCATGCATGAACATTTCAAGACCAAAACAACAACAGATCCCCATGCTAAATCAACACAGATCCCTTTGGACCCATAAATATGCATGAAATGTGTGCCTTTGTGTGAGCAGAGGAGAAGAAAGGAAGAATATGAGAAAGGAAGGAGGCTTTTATGTGATAACTTTAGGCTTCTAGCCTTTGGGAACCACCTGTGTCTCTCCAAATGCTCAAAGCAGTTTCTCCTATATTTTTCTTAGCTAAGAGAGTTTTGAAGTCAAGATTCAACTGTACCTAAATAGATAAGTTTCTCTTTTTCCATTGACTTCTACATAATATAAACAAAGGTATAAACAATAAAATCTACTTGGAAGCAAGGAGAGATGGAAAAACTACAACTACATAAATCAGCCACTTGCTCAAACACTTTTAGTATCCTTATATTCTGGGGAACATGGTCATTAGGTTTTAAATCTAAATTTCAAGTCTGCTCTAAAAATCCCCTTTACCATTGGAACCCAAGACCTATGTTCAGTCTTCTAGATATGTCTCAGAGTGAATGGCAGAAAAAAATTCCCAAGATACAATATTTTTCTCTAGTAGTGTATAAATGAATGTTAAACTAGTTAGGTAAGAATAACCTCAGATTACAGGAGTCTAAAGCAGTTAAACATAAATGACACTTCCCATACTCTACCTCTAAGATAACCATAAGCTGGAGTGTGTGTTCTGCATCTTCGTTTGCTTCTTCAAGGTCATATGATACGGTAAACATCAACTGTCCTCCTGCTGCTGTGAGCTACAAGAGAGAAGATGCGTCATCATTACGGGACAGGAAATGGGCTAATAAACCATGCTGTGCTTATTATTTTTAAATTATTTTATTGTTCTAGAGGGCAGAATTTGGAAGAAACAGAAATCATGGGCATGCGGATTGAGAATGATAGATATTTCTTTAGGAGTAACCTTTATATGAACCTTACCTATTAATGGCAAACCTGACAGACATGTACATTCATGTATTCTTTTTCCTGGTATTGCAGGCTTGCTGAAATAGGTTAATTTCCATGGAACCAAACACAGCCCCTCCTGTCATTTTTCCTAGTGTGTTGCTTGAGCTTTACAATTCTCAGAGAAAAATCTTTGTTAAAATTGGGAGATTTCTACTCATCGCCAAGCATTACTCACTTTGTGTGGGTCTGAACGCTTTCAACAAAGACATCACTCCATTTCACAGGTACTTTACTTAGACTATAAGCTATGCTGGAGAATGTTGTTGGTCAAAGAAAAAGAAATAAAGCAGCAAATTTTATATCATGATAAAATTTAATCAAAATTCCCAAAGAAGATACACTTTCCCTTGTGCAATCAAATATGCTTAGTGTGAATGAATGCTGTTATCCTTTTTCATTACACAAAATTCTTTCCTTCCAACATGCATGCTGAACCCCATACAATGTATGCTTGAGGTTTATATTTGCTGACATTGACAGTAACCTTGTACAAAGGATTAAAAAAAAAAATAGGAAAGCAAGATCATTTACAGGACAGGAATCAACGTTGGAACTTGAATGACAGACGGATCATTTACAGGACAGGAATCAACGTTGGAACTTGAATGACAGACGATGCAAATGTTGCAGTGCTTTTCTAAAAAGTTCCACCCCAGCATTGTAAATAGACACTCAAAACAAAGCTGATGATTTGTATTCTGCCGTTTCCTCCTTACTGACAGGCAGAGACCGAGCTTCGCAGCCCTGGGCTCTCTGTGGCTTCTCATGGCAGACCCTGACCACAAAGCATCTGGGTGGAGGAGGAGGAACCCAGATTCCTTTCAGAGTTGCTCCACTGGGAATAGAACGCAGCTCGCCATGGCTGATTAAACAAGTTTTTTAAATCACAGCTTCTCAATGTCTTCTAAGAGCTCATTACAAGAGCTCTATAAGGAACAAAAATTCAGAAAACTTTTATTTCCCTGCTCCACTGAAAAATAGCCCTATTCTAATGTCTTTTCATATCTAAAATAATAAATATCTGCCTGGACTATAGCACTTGGCATTACTGTAAGTAATGAGGTGTGAATCTATGTAAAAGGTTTTTGGTTCTATTAAGATAAGCTTCCAAAATTACACAAAGCATGCTTGTTCAAAAATCAACCAGACATTTTCTTAATGATAGGAGTCCAGAAAGGCATCAGCAAAGAATGTTTCATATATTTCAAAGAGGACTTAATTATTCAGAATTTCCTAAATTAATAAAAATATTTAATAGGAGGTAGGGACTGAGTTTGGAAAAGACATTGGGACAGATCTATAATGTCACAAACTTTTGAGCTTCTAAATGTATTTTGATTATTAAAATTTAGATTACATGCTATTATCCTTCTAGAACAGGTTTCCTTAGAAAAAGAAAAAGATCAAGGTAAATTAATTCTTAATTTCCTTAAATCAATTTAAGAAACTTAAAGGTAACTCCCACTTTGCCAAACAAAAGAGCCAAAATGTAATCTGAATATCCCAGATGTTGAGACTCAACATGAAAAGAAAAATGTTTGATTTGTTACAATATTTGATTTGTCAGTGTATTTTCCATACCTACTTATAAAAAAAGTCATATAATATATGAAGTAATATAATATTGAGAAAGTAATGAGGGTAGAAATGGGGGGAAGACAACAAACAACTACATAGAAAAAGAGAGGGGCCTTTTACGGGTCAATAATATACAACACAAACAATGGAGCAGAATTCGTTAAACCTGTTCACCTGAGGGCTTATAGTAATAGTAGTAATGCTAATAAGAGATTGCTTTCTCATTCATATTTCATAAAACAACTTTTTTCTATACTCTTTCATGCATCTCTGATATTCATGCTTAGGCATCATTAGAACTGGTTTTTTAATCATCTAACAGTTTTCATGAGAGAATCCTTTTTGCTTCCACCTAGGTTGTGAAATAATAGGCAATTTTAAATAGATGCATGATACTGTTACCAGATGTTTTTTCCCCAAGCTACAAGTGTTCATTTCCATAATATCAAAATCATTGTCTATTTCATTCACCCTAAGGTATATACTGATGATATATCTCTATATAACTACTTAGTCAAGTACTTATTTAAGTAATTTTTAAAAAAGCTTGTTTTAATATCATCCTTTAATTGAAAAACTGCATCTCCTAGGAATAGGGCTTTCTGGGTAGCTTAGTGGCAAAGAACCTGCCTGCAATACAGGAGACTTGCGTCGATCCCTGGGTCAGGAAGATACCCTGCAGGAGGAAATGGCAACCCACTTCAGTAGTCTTGCTGGGAAAATCCCATTGACAGAGAAGCCTGGTGGGCTACAGTCCACGGGGGTGGCAAAGAATCTGACATATTGAATGACTGAGCACATATCCTAGGGTTAATTATTTATTCTCTGTGGAAGGTGAAGCTCCAATACTTTGGCCACCTGATGCAAAGAGCCATCTCATTAGAAAAGACCCTCATGCTGGGAAAAATTGAAGGCAGGAGGAGAACAGGATCACAGGATGAGATAGTTGGATGGCAGCACTGACTCAATGGACAAGAGTTTGAGCAAGCTCTGGGAGATGGTGAAGGACAGGGAAGGCTTGCATGCTGCAGCCCATGGGGTTGCAAACAGTTGGCCATGACTGAGCAACTGAACCACAACAAAACTTTGCTTCTATTTATCCATCAACTGGATAATAATCTCTTTATAAGAAATGAAACTAAGCATTTCTTGGTATTGTTTCCAGCTGGTGAACAACAGACTAGTTCCAAAAAGGTGTATGTCAAGGCTGTACATTGTCACCCTGCTTATTTAACTTATATGCAGAGTACATCATGAGAAACGATGGGCTGGAAGAAGCACAAGCTGGAATCAAGATTGCCGGGAGAAATATCAANGTTTGGGTAGACTCCGGGAGTTGGTGATAGACAGGGAGGCCTGGCGTGCTACGATTCATGGGGTCGCAAAGAGTTGGACACAAGTGAGTGAATGAACTGAACTGAACTGAATGTGTCTTCCCCAAAGGGTACATATCACTGGACAGAGTCTTTGTAACAAGTCAGTTATTTGTTGTTCAACCACTCAGTCATGTCTGACTCTTTGCAACCCCATGGACTGCAGCACACAAGGCTTCCCTGTCCTTCATCATATCCTGGAGTGTTGCTCAAATTCATGTCCATCGAGTCCATGATGCCATCCAACCACCTAGTCCTCTGTTGTCCCCTTCTCCTCTGCCTTCAATCTTTCACAGAATCAGGGTCTTTTCCAAAGAGTCAGCTCTTTGCATCAGGTGGCCAAAGTATAGGAGTTTCAGGCTTAGCATCAGTTCCTCCCACGAATATTCAGACCTGATTTCCTTTAGGATTGACTGGTTTGATCTCCTTGTAATCCTGGGACTTTCAGGAGTCTTCTCCAACACCATAGTTCAAAAGCATCAATTCTTTGGTGCTCAGCTTTCTTTATGGCCCAACTCTCACATCCATACATAACTACTAAAAACCATAGCTTTGATTAGATGGATCTTGGTTGGCAAAGTAATGTCTCTGCTTTTTAATATGTTGTCTATGCTTGTCATAGTTTTTCTTCCAAGGAGCAAGTGTCTTTTAATTTCATGGCTGCAGTCACCATCTGCCATGATCTTGGAGCCCAATGAAATAAAGTTATAAAAACTTTCCTATGGAATATTTGTTTTCTGGGCGAAGAGCTGTGGAAATACTTGGCATATAAGTTGTCCTTTCAAATATAGCTTTGGATGAAGGCTTCTCTGTCTTCTCCTTCTATATTCTGCTCCATACTCCAAATGCTATATTGACTTGGCTCTTTCACCTGCTTGCTTCTCCACCCTCCAATAATTCCTTCAATGTCCCAGTCTTCACTATCTCCATCAAATCAAATGTGCACAGAGCTCCAAGTCATCAATCGACTTTATTGTCTCAGCTAGCTATTATCTCTGGGCATTTGTTAGTTTTGCTGTCAAACTCTCAAGTATGGGGTATTACTTCATTTTCTTTATTTCTACTCATCCAATCTTACTTATTTGATCTACTGCAGCCTGCTTTCCACACTTAGAGCTTCACTAACAGTATGTCTTGAAAGGTCATTTACCAGCTCTATCTAGCAACCATGGATGGGCTTTTGTTCTGTTCCATGTGATGTGTAATAATCTTGAGATTCTTGACTCCTTGGTTTTCTACTGCACTAAACTTTTCTGATACTTCTTTCTCTGGAGTATGACAGAGTATGACAGACCTCTGTCTCCATTATAAAAACATTTTTCTTTTATATATATGTACTCAGTATATGGATGTTTCTAAGATTCCCTCCCTTTTTTGATGATCCTTTCTTACTGACTTTCTATTCCTCTCATGGATTGAACTGTGTTCAGCCCTGCTTTCTCAGTCTGTTTCTCCCATTCTGACCCACGTTCCTGCATGAATCTGGTCATGGTGCCATAACAAAGGTCCCCAAACTGGGAAAACAACAGAAACCTGAGCTCAAGGTGTCAGCTGGGAGAACCGCCCTCACCTGCCCACTTGCATTGATCAGTAGCATTCCATATTAATAAATCTACTTCTTGCCTATCAGTAAAAAGGAAAGATGTCAGCAAGGCTGGTTTCCTCTTAGGCCCCTCACCTTGGCTTGTAGATGGTCCTCTTTCTGCTGTGTTCTCCCATGGTCTTCCTTCGGTGTCTGTCTATGTCCTCATTTCCTCCTCTTATAAGGAAAATTCATAGTGTATCAGGGACCACGTTAAGTGCCCCATTTTAGCTTAATCAGAATAAAGGATCCT